TGAGAAACAAGAGATATCAGATGGCTCACCTCTTAAATCTTTTCAAGCTGCCTTCTTGTGTCAAAATTCCATTCAAATTCGAATTCTTCAGCTGCAGGTTCGTGAACAAGTTGCTTGTGTACAAAAAGATCTGACATGTTTCTAACTGAGCACGAATTGTTCCGATACCTAATAAAGAGGAAAATCACTTGAGACCTGAAGAGCCTGTTCAAAATGGTTAAATCCGGCTACAAACTTGCCCAAAATGGCGGATCAACGTCCTGTTCCCAGTGCTCCTCGGCCTCTCTCGAGTGGAAGGAATCCGCTGAGCGATGTGAGTGCAGGCGCAGGGCTACACAGTTTTCCCGCGGATTCGTATAACGAACAGAGAGTGCTTGCCAGGTAAAAGGGTTTAGAATTTAGATATTTGGATTTGTTACATTTACTCCATACTTACAAAAATAGTGATGGAGACCAAAAGCACCGCGGCGCCATTCTAGGGAAACCCCCATGAATAAGATGTTAAACTATATATTCGTTATATATTAAACTATACATTTCAGTTCAATAGTTAAATGTGAAAGCCCTTCCAAAAAGATGCCATGAAGTGTATTTTCAAAATCTTGACTCTGAAGGATTGTTTTTCCTCAACGAGCAATTAAGGACACAAAAGTATTTCCTCAAAGAGGTCTGACGCTTCTTTGAGGATGTGCATGTCTTCTAGCTTTTTACTTAAGACGTGCGCGTTTCATAAAAATGGCAAATTTTCAAGTCTAATTTTCTCACATTTGNAAATTCCATTCAAATTCGAATTCTTCAGCTGCAGGTTCGTGAACAAGTTGCTTGTGTACAAAAAGATCTGACATGTTTCTAACTGAGCACGAATTGTTCCGATACCTAATAAAGAGGAAACATCACTTGACACCTGAAGAGCCTGTTCAAAATCGTTAAATCCGGCTACAAACTTGCCCAAAATGGCGGATCAATGTTCTGTTCCCAGTGCTCCTCGGCCTCTCTCGAGTGGAAGGATTCCGCTGAGCGATGTGAGTGCAGGCGCAGGGCTACACAGCTTTCCCGCGGATTTGTATAACGAACAGAGAGTGCTTGCCAGCTAAAAGGGTATAGAATTTAGATATTTGGATTTGTTACATTTACTCCATACTTACAAAAACAGTGATGGAGACCAAAAGCACCGCGGCGCCATTCTAGGGAAACCCCCATGAATAAGATGTTAAGCTATACATTCGTTATATATTAAACTATACATTTTAGTTCAATAGTTAAATGTGAAAGCTCTTCCAAAGAGATTTCATGAAGTGTATTTTCAAAATCTTGACTCTGAAGGATTGTTTTTCCTCAACGAGCAATTAAGGACACAAAAGTATTTCCTCAAAGAGGTCTGACGCTTCTTTGAGGATGTGCATGTCTTCTAGCTTTTTACTTAAGACGTGCGCGTTTCATAAAAATGGCAAATTTTCAAGTCTAATTTTCTCACATTTGAACCTGAAATCTAGTATCGCCATTTTCCGCCAAAACAAAGACAAAAAAAAAACATTTGTCAAATGAACGACATAACGATGAATAGTTTAATATGGACTACTAATGCCGGAGTTTGGGCAGTTTTGAATTTTCACATTTTTGCCGATTATTTGCGACTTTGCTTGATTCTCCCTGACACTCACTCTTAAATATTAATGCTAATTAATGTGTACATAAGGACGTTCTAACACTAATGCTCAGCCTGCACGTATGCCTAGTTTCCATCGACTTGAAAAAGCTTAAAGTTTTTATTAAATGAAAATAAAGCGGGAAAAGAGACTGAATTTTATTTGCTCAAGTAGAAGAAAGTAAAAAACAAAAAAAGCACGTCAGTTGTTATCTTTTTGGATAGGAAGTCGTTTATAGTCGCTGGTTAAATTTTAATCAGCATACACAAGTAAGAAGGTTCTTGCTTGCTTGCTTACTTGCTGCAAGTACATGTATGTCTGGTTTCCATCGACTTCCGAAGCTTAACACTCGGGCAAGATTTTTATCATATGAAAATAAAGGGGGAAAACAGAAATTTTATTCCCTGAAGTATAAGAAAGTAAGAAACTCCACGTAAGTTGTTATTTTTTAGGATAGGAAGTCGTTTATAGTCGCTGGTTAAATTTTAATGTATACACGGGTAAGAAGGTTCTTGAGTTAATAGACCAGCCTGCAAGTGTATGTCTGGTTTCCAACGTCTTTCCACATTTATCATGCAAGCGTTTTGTTAAATGAAAACATAGCGGGAAACAGAAATTTCATATAAAGAAGTTCAGATTTCTGTGAAATGTATGTAGTTGACTGCATTTCTTTTCCAAAGCAGATTCTTTTAAACAGTCGATACCTTGAATTCTGTTCATCTTTCAGTTTTGACAGGTAAATTGGTGAAATAAATATTTCAGGTCGGGATAATGGCCAGATAATATATATCCTCTTAACTGAAAGAAAAAAACGAAAGTTTTGTTTAAAAAAAAAAACAGAAAAAAAAGTCGAAGGAATGAACGTCGATCTCAACTGATATTGTGAACCCTTAGTTCTATGTTTTTTTTCTTTTTTCACTTCCAAGTGTTAAAAGGAATATTTCACCATTTCTGCCGTGAATAAATAGCGCTTGGTAAAAATCGTTACAGCATGGACTTCCATGACGTTGCTGTCTTACAAGACCGCCGCTTCAAAGGTTATAGATGACGTTATTAGCGGTGAGAAACTAAATTGGTTTTTGTTTACAAATATCTATTGGGTAATTGTTCTTCTACGTGACAACGTAATTCATCCTTAATTGAAAGACTCGAGATCCATTTAAACATGACAGGTGTCATAATAGGTTTTCTTACCCACTTTAAAATAATCATGAAAAGGGATAAAATTAGTCACTCTGCAAGTCTCAAGAAGCGAACATGGAAGTCACTCTCCGCTATCTGGTTATATTGTTTCTCTTTGTCTCTTTCTCTCATTCTTCGGAAGGTAAGTAATTTTTACTTCTCTTAACTTTCAATTTCCAGCTATCGACTTTGCTGCTATTTGTGACACGATATGAAATCCTAACACGACACCAAAACAGACAACTGGACTCTTTTCAATTAAGGTCTCATTGGAAGGTCCTCTGATGGGGTATCTTTTATCAACTTCGAGCAAGACGAGTATTCGTATCTGTTTATCACCAGTATTGGTTCAGATCTCGTTGAAGATGGCAGCGAGTGTGGGTTTGCTTGTGTGGAAATCCCTTCATGCTTTTCTTACAACCTCGCGGCAGTCCCTGATATCAATAAAAAGAAGCTCTGTGAACTGCTTCCATCGGACAAGTACAACAACACGGACAAGTTCACCGCAAGCCCGATGTTCCATCACTACAGCATTCCGGTAGGTGGAAATTCGATTTCATTGACAACCAATATTGCAATAAATTATCTACATTGAGTCAAAATCAGCAAAATACCAAAGCTCACTATAGGAGCCATTGTTAAAATGGATCGCTTACAACGTTAGGTCAGGAAGTCCTAAAGGCTGAGAACAGGATATTATACATATTTAACTATCACGGTATTTGTACTAAAACTCCAAGCACGGAACATCACAACCTTCTTGGTTAGCGGGAGTTGACGAGCTACACCCGTGCGTTAATATATACCGAATTTGAAGATGAGAAGGCCAAAATGACGTACACAACGTACATAAAACTGCAAGCAAATGAAACCTAGGGAATCCGAAGCCATCAGCCGCACGGAAGTATAGCCTTCTGAGGGAAATCTATCCGCCTCTTGCACGTGCTTCGAGTTTGCAGAAAACTATCTCCGCCCTCGCATGCATCTCTCAATCGCTAGAATAAATCCGCTTGCATCGTATGTGGGTTCACTCTAAATTGCAGCGGATGTGGCTGCTGTTTCGTAGGACGTTGCCTGGTCTTCACTTTAGGTTTTCGCTTTCAGTCTCCATGCAGCCGTTGGCCTTGTCAGAACAATGGAACTTGCGTATCACAGTACGAGAAGAACAGCTATGTGTGCCATTGCATGAGAGAATTCTCAGGGAAAAGTTGCCAAACAAGTAAGAACGTTTTTCACTCTTATTGCATTATCGACGAAAAATCAATATTAAAGGGAAATCTTAAGGCAGAGGAAAATCTTTACCAGTTCTTTTCACTTCTTATAATTCCTGACACCAGAGGAAAAGAAATATACCTAATCGGAGACTGAACGAAAGAAGATCGCATGCAGGCAAGAAAATTGCGATTCGTGATGCCGATTTACAATTAACGACTTCTGACATCTTCCGCTGAGGCAACCTGAGAAGTTATTCTTTGCACCAGATTTTGGAAGAGACTTCACTGATAGTATTTCTGATATCGACTACATGTTTATTTCCCTGGTAAGAGTCTCCAGAAATTACAGCGGGGTTCTGTAATTGAACAATTGAAAGAGCAGATGTAGAAGTGAGGAGAAATCCATCCATTTAATGGTAACGACGACTTTTTTCCTCTCTGCCTCGCGTTTGGCTGCGTACTATGCAACTTTACCGATGCTATTTGCAATAACAAAGACATCTAGGTGTCCTCGGTAATCCGTGAAAGAGTCCGCTCCATCGAATGGTTCCAAATTGCTATGGAGATACATGTAACTGGACTTCTTGCTGGATTTTTTTCATGCAGTTTGCTACGAAAGCGTTGATTCGTTTCTAAATTAATTTCATTAAAGACGTTGGTTTTAGTAAAACAGAATAAGGTCATGTTTGTATTAATGACTTTAGTCGCGACTTTAGTTTAATTTAAGGTGATATCTCCATCCACTTGTATTTTGAGATTTGAAGAGTTCGTATATACTTGATTTTAGATTCTCATTGTAGATTTCCTAGTGTTATAGTTAAAGGATATTAAGTTTTAGTACAAACACCCCACAAGCTTCTTATTTTTAGATGCTATCGTTTTGAAAATAGGGGCGATCTAAGCACCAAACAGAGGAAACTTTTAGCCCTTATGTTCAGACAGGGGAAGGAGGGAAGGAAAGTAAAAGCTTTCAAACTTTGTCACTTTATCTGAAACTTACCCAACAACAAGTTGGCACGCTTCCATAGCAACCCTTTCTAGACGGATATGCTTTTTCATATGTCAGAATTTTCTTGCTTGTTTTAACACAATTCAACTTTGATGCTGTTATATTTCGACATTTTTGAGACCTGGATCGTTTTTTTTATTATTGATGTCGATTAGCCATGATTCATTTTAAAGGTTTCTGATGTTATTGAAGCCATGATGGATCCAATATAGTGGCTATTTGAAAAATTTTTATCACGACGTAATTGCCACATATAAATATATGCTGTCCCATGTTGTTTACCTTTCATAAGTCGGGATCTACTATATCCACTGTAAGTTTGGTATTCTTTAAGTAACATACACGGATTGTCCTCCCCCAGCTCCCTGCTGTAAAAAATCAAAAAGAAAAACCTCAGAATAGAGCCAAGAGACTATGATACCATAGTCTCTTGATAGAGCTAATTATGTAAAATTGCATTTAATTTCCGTATACAATTACAAATAGAAAAAGACGTAATAAGGAGAGCTACGTGGGTACCAGGCTTTTCTTATTACTCTTATAGACTTGACAGGCATTAATGAGTGTGAGAGCAATCCTTGTCTTAACAATGGAACCTGTTCTGACCAACTTGGTGGATTCAACTGCANATTGTCCTCCCCCAGCTCCCTGCTGTAAAAAATCAAAAAGAAAAACCTCAGAATAGAGCCAAGAGACTATGATACCATAGTCTCTTGATAGAGCTAATTATGTAAAATTGCATTTAATTTAATTTCCGTACATAATTACAAATAGAAAAAGACGTAATAAGGAGAGTTACGTAAATACCAGGCTTTTCTTATTACTCTTATAGACTTGACAGGCATCAATGAGTGTGAGAGCAATCCTTGTCTTAACAATGGAACCTGTTCTGACCAACTTGGTGGATTCAACTGCAGCTGTATACCGGGATTCTATGGGGATCGATGCGAAACAGGTTTTTGTTTGTTTGTTTGTTTTAATCTTAATTCCTCGTATTAATCTAAATGTGACAAACCAGCCTGAAGGCGGCATAAATTATAGCCGTTTGAAGCTCCATTTTTTAAAGGATATGAAGCGTCCTTACAAGTTTTGCTTTTCATTGGACACTAGCTGACACTGGACAAGAGGACTTCACCGTTAGCATTAATTTCTGAAACTGACTGCAAATTTGCAGCTTTGGGAAGAGTCTCTAGAAAATTGGCTGCACAATCATAAACGTGTAACAATTAAAAGCTAGCGATGTTTGAAGTTATTCAATATGGGCAATATCAGTATGCATGTTGTTTGTTCTATTTCCTCTCACAGGAATCAAGGCTAGTTACACGGTTTCGCCATCAGGCTCCATGTGCGGCAATTGGTGCATCATCACAGCAATATTTAGATCCTTGTTGAATAAAAGCGATAGCTGAGAAATAGAGCTCTGAAAATAGCACTTATTGTTCAATAAGTTTTAAATATCTTTTGTTCGCAAATATGAGCTCAAATTCAATTCCGGCAAAAGAGGGATTAAAAATTCAAACCCATGAAAAGTTTTCTAGGCCGAGGAAAATCACTAAAAAGTTAGCTCGTTTAGGAAATGAAATTTTGCTTTACCAGATACTCAGATGGAAGAAGCATGCCCCGGTTTAAACACTAGCGAGCGAAATTTCAGAAATTTTGTGTAGACGAGTAGATTCTTCCTGTATTACGTAATCTTATCAAGGCTCCGCTATAAGCTCGGGTTACTGCTGTTTTGCTGTGGAATTACAATACTGATGTATTACTGTAACGTTACTACTCTGCACTCGTTACTGCTGTGTTGCTGCTGTGTCACTGTTGTGTTACTGTCGTTGCTGTGTTACTCCTGTAAACCCACGGCCAATAGTCCTTTCCGGTTAGGGGATCATAATCCCGCAATCCTGTTAAAGGGATCAAGATCCACAATAAACGTCCCTATCCTATAGCACTTTCTGGGCTCAGCTACCCCAGAATAGAAGAAAAATTCGAGTCTATGGGGGAAAGCGTGACTTGTATGGGAGCACTTCATCCCACAAAATGCACGGAGTGTATTCCCCCGGACGAGCCACTGAGCGTGTCTGAAGTCTCTTTACTACTCCATTAATCCAATTAACCGTGTCCTGTACCAGCTTATTTTACAGTAGGGAATTATGGCAACTAATGTATCGTTCATAGCAGTTAGATGACCTGCGCCCCAATGTTTTATTTGAATGGCCAGGGAAGCGGGTGGGGGGGAGGGGGGGGGGAGGAGGAGTGGTAGCAGTGGTAGCAGTGGTAGCAGTGGTAGCAGTGGTAGCAGTGGTAGCAGTGGTAATTCTGTAGCTGTGACGAGCAGCATATTGGGCAAGGTTCTGTATTAATTACTTTTGTGTTACTGCTGTGCTTGTGTCACTGTCAAGTCAACCTGAAGTTTTCACTCTAAAACCTGGCAGCTCAAACAGTCTTCTCGTTC